GAATATGCCCATGCATTCTTGAAGGAGGAGAAGGAGGAGGAGGAGGAGGAGGAGGAGGAGGAGGAGGTAGGAGGAGGAGGAGGAGGAGGGAGGAGGAGGAGGAGGAGGAGGAGCTGGGAGGAGGAGGAGGAGGAGAGGGAGGAGGGACGAGTGCGGTGGAGGGGGACGGGCTAGGGGTAGGGGAGGAGGAGGAGGAGGAGGGGAGGAGGAGGAGGAGAGGAGGAGGAGAGGAGTGGGAGGAGGAGGGGAGGAGGAGGAGGAGGAGGAGGAGGAAGGAGCAGGAGGAGGTAGGCGGAGGAGTGGTAAGGGGAGGTGAGGAAGGAGGAGTGAGGAGGAGGAGGAGGAGGAGGAGGAGGAGGAGGGAGGAGGAGGAGGAGGAGGAGGGGGAGGAGGCGGAGGAGGAGGAGGAGGAGGTGGAGGAGGAGAGAGGAGGGGATGGAGAAGGAGGAGGAGGTAGGAGGAGGAGGAGGAGGAGGAGGAGGAGGAGGAGGCGGAGAAGATGAGGAGGAGGAGGAGGAAGGAGGAGGAGGAGGAGGAGGGGAGGGGAGGGGGAGGGTAGTGGGGAGGGGGAGGAGGAGGAGGGGAGGAGGAGGAGGAGGAGGAGGAGGAGGAGGAGGAGGTGGAGGAGGAGGCGGAGGAGGAGGAGGAGGGGAGGAGGAGGAGCAGGAGCAGGAGGAGGAGGAGGTGGAAGGGGAGGAGGAGGAGGAGGAGGAGGAGGAGGAGGAGGAGGAGGAGGAGGAGGAGGGGGAGGAGGAGGAGGAGGGAGTGGAAGGGGAGGAGGACGAGGGGGATGATTCCCCAATCAGTGCTTGCACTGAAGGGGTCATAGCGGAAATTGAAAGATTAGGCGAAAGTTTCCCGCCGACTTTGGTGGCCGGCTGGGTTCCCGGGTTCCCGGTTCTGAGTTCCTAGGTTCTTGCGGTCGTTGGTTGCGGGCCGATTTCGGTGGGTTCCGGGTCCCCGGGTTCCCTGTCGATTTCCTCAATCGAAAACCATCCCATGATTGGGGTTCTTCTCTGGTGTACTGTTATAATTGCGGGGGCAAGCGACACCACCTGGTGCTGCTGCAGATCTGGAGACCCCATGTGCGAGGGGAACCCAGGACGCGTCCGCTTAGGATTGTCCTCCAGAGTATTTTTTGTGGCTCAGGCCGAGCTTCCCAAGCCCAGCGAGGGCCCGATACCGCGGTAATTTCTACAGGCTTTACCAGCAGCCGCGGCATCAGAAGCAGCAGCAGCAGCAGCAGCAGCAGCAGCAGCAGCCCTGCTGACGTCACCATGGGGGCAGCAAGCAAGATGGTCGCCGCTGGCGCCGGCGCGAAGGCTGTGACCGGCGGAGCCGCCTTCACCCACATGGGTACCACGCGGCCTTCTTCGCAGGCTCGCGCGGGTCCGCACAATGTCTTCTGGCGTGTCCCAGGGTTGACTGCAGCAGGAGCGTGAGGTTTGATCTTCGGCTTCCTCCCTCGCCTCCCTCCGCTGCCCCTTCCGCTCCTGCCCCCTCGCTCCTTGGGGGGGGGGGAATCTGACGTCCCCGCGGTTTTTGGTTGTGGCTGTCCTCCGCCCCCTTGCGCGTCGAATGCTTGGTGGCGTCCCCTGCCCCCTGAGACCTCGCAATGTCTTGGACAGTGGATCGGGAGGGGGCGGTGCAGGGGACGGGAGGGGAGGGAAGGCTTCCCGTGGCAGCCTTGTCCCATTCTTTGTTTTTTGTTTGTTTGTCATTTTTTTTGTTCTCTTTCTGTGTCAATGTGTACATGTGCTTATACAGATGCTTGCATTCCTATACTTACTTGTGCATGCATGCACATGCGTATGTGTATACACATACGAATGCGTAAGGCGCTCCCCTTCTATTTTGCTTACCTTGGGGGACCTCTCGTCGCCGGGGGTTCCAAGCACGTGTGCTCCTGCTACTGCTGCTCCTCTCCTTGCCTCATCCCGCCATCTCATCCGCAGGGCGATCGTCGCAGCCGTGGCGAGCTTGGAGGAGGATGAGGATAACACTTTTTGGGGAGGGGGATATGAATGAGGACGAGGAGGAGGACTACCATGACCCAGGGTGCATCTGCGATGCTGCATTGCACATTCCCTTTCCATGTCCCCTCCCGAGAAGGCCCCATGACCGTGTCTTCCACTTCGGAAAGCGCCCTCTTGAAAGACAATCGCCCTATGGCCATGCCATGCAGGTGACGGCCTTCTTTGAGGGAGCCGCCCTTCATCCTCTTAATTATCGAAGACGCCTACGGCGAATCACCGCCGTTCCCTACCTTTTTGAAACGCACCTCTGTGGCCAAACGTTTGGGATCAGAGCTTGGACAAAGTATTGGACCAGGTGCTCCCCGAGCCGCTGGCCTCTTGGGCGATCTTGGGGCAATGTTGGGGCCCCTTGGGCTGTCTGGGGCCGTCGGAAGGCCGTCTTGAAGCAAATGCGAACATCCTTCAACAAGTGAAGGGGAATCACTGATTTTAGCCTCTTCGGGCTTTCCTGCGTAGCTTCTTGGAGGCCTCTTGGGCCGTCTTGGAAGCCTCTTGGGGGCCTTTGGGGCCGTCTTTGGCCGTCTTTGAGGCTTCTCGGGCGAACTCGGAGACATCTTGGACTCTCCAGGGCCGTCTTGGAGGCTATCTTCGACCATCTTGGGCGACTTTTGAGGCCATATTGGCTGTCTTGGCGGCCATCTTGGGCCATCTTGGAGCCATCTGGAGCTCCTTTCCGGGTGGCCGGCGCGCAAGGCCGAAGCTCCAGGGGGAGTTTCAAAGAGAACCGCAAACCATCAGACATTTAGCCTGCCAGGCACCCCTGTGATAAATTAACAGGGGGCGGCGGACCCAATGGCCTTCGGCCCATCCCGCTGCCCTGCCTGGGTTGTGGGAATGAAGCCTATTGGATGTTCGTTGGGATCTCGTGGGAGGCCTCTCGGCCCTCTTGGAGGTCGTTCGGAGTCCTCTTGGGGGCCGTTTTTGTTTTAACTTTTCGGGGACCTCTTGGGGGCCGGCCTCTTGGGGCCTCGGACCTCTTGGGAGCCTCTTGGGGCCTCCTTGGTGCCTCCTGGTCCCTCCTGTGCGCCTCTTGGGGAGGAAGGCTCGGATTTTCGATTCGTGTTCCCTCTCTTGGGCTCCTTTTGGGGCCGTCTTGGGGCCCTCTTGGGCCGTCTTGGGCGCCTCTTGGGCCGTCTCGGTGCGCTCTTAGGCCGTCTTGGGGCCCTCTTGGAGGCCTCTTGGGCCGTTTTGGGGTGGTCTTGGAAGCCTCTTGGGCCGTCTTGGAGCGTCAGAAAGCCGAAAAGGTGAGAACGCTGAAGTCCCTAGACTACCAAGGTTAACTCAATAATTTGTGTCTCTTGGGCCCTCTTGGGAGGTCCTCTTGGAGGCCTCTTGGGACGTCTTGCAGCCCTCTTGGGCAATCTTGAGGCCATGCTCGGCGTCTTGGAGCGATCTTTCGGCGACTCGGGGCCTTCTTGGACCGTCGTGGGGGCCTCGTGGGGTCTACTTGGCACGTCCTGAGGCCCTCTTGGACCCGAACAAAGCATGCGAGAAGATGCTTGGAACCCAGGGGGAACGCGAGAAGCCCAAGAAGATGTTTGACAATTTGGGGTGCGGGCTCTTATAAGACTACTTAGGAGTGCTTAGGGGATCAGGCAAAGGACCTGAGGACGCGCCCACTCCATGCCCAGCGGCACGGTGGCGGACATCTAGGGCCAAGACGTATGTCGGCGGCGAGCTCACGAGGGAATGCAGAGGTGGCGGGCCTTGTCAGAAGACTCGGAAGGCCTCCTGCCTTTGAGAGAAGTTTTCTAAGCCTTCTCCGAAAACAGACACGGCATCTCAGAAGGCCTGAGCGCTCCTGAGAAGCCACACCGCCTTCTGAGAAGGCCTGCCCCCCCTCCCCCTCCCCCTGGGCTCGCCTCCGAGTGCGACCATACACATCCACGAGTTGCCCAGCGAGAACCTCAGGCCAGCGAGCGCACCCGCCAGCCTTCGAAGCAGACCGCCCCTGCCATGTGCTGCGGAATTGCATCCCTCCTCGCCGTCTCCGTTCTCTCTCTCCCTCTCACTCTGTCTCTTCCCTCCTGGGAATCCCCACTGCATTCGGGCACCAGGGAGCCAAGGCGCTTCCGGCGCTCTGGCGCCACCTCCGTGCTCAGATGAAACATCACACGTTTTTTTGTTGCAACCGGGAGCCATAACACGACGTGTGATGTTCCATCTCCTTCCCAGAGCCGTCCCTGGTCGGCGCTCCGCTTCGCTTCGCTCCGCTCCCCCCCAGGGCTCGTTTCGATTCCTCCGATTCGATTCGATTTCGATGGCTTCCGATTCCGATTCGATTCGACTTCGGATTCCGACTTGGGCTCCGATTCCTCAATGGAGGCCTGCTGGCCTGCCGAGTTCTGCCGACTCGACCTCTCCCGACATGGCTGCCGATTTCCGCCGATCCGATTCATTTCGATCGCCGACCTCCTCCTCCTCCGCCTCCGCCTCCTCCGCCTCCGCCTCCTCCTCCCCCTCCGCCTCCGCCTCCCCCTCCGCCTGCGCCTCCTCCTCCTCCTCCTCCTCCTCTTCCTCCTCCTCCTCCTCCTTCCTCCTCCTCTCTCCTTCCCCTCCCCCTCCTCTCCCCCCCTCCTCCTCCTCCCCCCTCCTCCTCCTTGGCGATTCGATCCCGGGCTCTCCGCGCCCCCCCCGGGCCAGGTGCCTCACGGCCGCGCGCCGCCGTGCGCGTCGCGGCCGCGCCGCACGCGGCCCGCCGCGGGGCCGCGCCGGGCGCGGGCGCCGCCGCGGCCGCGGCGGCCGCCGCCGCGGCCGCGGCCTCCCGCAGGGGCTCGGCGCGGCGAGGCCTCAGAGGAGGCAAAGGTACCGTGAAGTCGGGCATGCTCCTCTACAGGGGGGAGTATTCAAAGATGTTACAAGTAGGCAGGGAAGGGCTTTTTGACTATTCATGGCAATGTTTGAATAGTTTGGGTGTTTGTTTTGTTACTTTTTTTATTGTCTCGTCCAACATGCGCCTGTAGGAGGACACGCCCGATCTAAAGGTGCCGATGCCGCTGCCCTTCCCTCGCTTTCCTTCTTCGGGCCTCTCGGGAGGCCCTCGTCGCCAGCGAGGGATTCGCCTCGGAGTTCTGGTCAGCGTGCACTCCAGGCGATGTCCAGGGAGCAGCGGTACCGGCACCTCCTGCTTTCCCCAAGGCCGGCGGGCTGCGGCGTGCGCCGTGGCTCTGGAGACGCCCCTCCTTCGCAATCGCTCAACGGGTCCCATGTCGATCCGATCGATCCGATTCGATACCGTTCTCGGCCAGTTCGATCTGATTCGGTCTCGATTTCCTGGCGATCCGAGGCGGCCCGATGCTTGCATGGCCTGGCCGATCCGATTCGATTTCGATCCCGTGCCGATGCAGCCCGATCCGATGCACATTTCGATTCGATCTAGTTTACTGATTCGCTGGTTGCTGATCCTGCCTTCACAATCGCTCAATCTGAACACTGCCCTCGAGGGCTCGAGAGTGTTTGTCGGGCATGTCCCTCTACAGGAGGAATGCTCAAACATAGTTTTAAGAAATTGTCGGGGGACGATTTTTCTATTACGTTTGACTATTTCTGGATACTTTTGATGATTTTGTCACACAATGTCCACCTGTAGGAGGACATGCCCGACCGGCCCGACCTAACCCTACGGGTCATAACGCCCGGACTGCCCCCCTTGCCACTGTCTCGAATACGACTCTCCTCGCTCCCTCTCGGCCCATCTCTTTGGGCATCCTTGACACTCGCCCTGCGTCCTCGAGGTGAGTTTCGGTTCTGCCTCCCTTCACTCTGCCGCGCACCGTCCCCCGCCGACCTCCGCCGTGGGAATTGTCCAGAGTGTCTGTCGGGGGTGGTGGTCGGGATCTTTTCTTTGAGCGGCGAACCCTGGGGGGAAGTGAGAAGGGACGGGCCTTCGCAGAAGGCTCGGAAGCCCCCAGGCCTTCTGAGAAGTTTTCCAAGCCTTCCCCGAAGACACAGAAAACTTCTCAGAAGGCGCGAGTGCTTCTGAGAAGTCCCGCCGCCTTCTGAGAAGGCCTTCTCCTTCCCATCTCCCCCCTCCCTCGCTGGCTGCCGATTCCTCGCTGCCAGAGGAGCCCAGGCAGGGCCGGCTGCGCGGCCTCTCCGCGGAGCCTCCCCTTGGAGCTGCCGCAGGAGTGCTGGGCGCTGTCGAGACGCCGTTGGCATGGTGCGCGAGGGTGCTGGCATCCGCGCTGCTTGCGGCGACTGTGAGCCCTCAGGTTGCGGGCGCTGCGATGGAGCAGGTCAGCTACTCCGAGTTCCTCGACCAGGTCGACGCGGGCAAGGTGGAGCTGGTGCGCATCGGGCCCAACGCCCTAGCGCGCGACCTGCTGGACGCGCAGTATGTTTCCACGGACGGCTCCCGCCACGAGCTGACGCTGGTGCCGAACGCGGCAGTGGAGGATGAGCTCATTTGCCAGCTTGCAGATAAGGGGATCGACGTAGACGTGCGGAGTACCCGCATAACAAGCAGCGGCCCGTCGGAGGTCCTGACTGTGTACGCGGGTCCCATCGCCTGGCTTGCCGCCAACTTGTTTCTGATCCACGAGACCTTTGGAGAGGGCGGCCTCGTTCAGGGTCTGATGGGACGGGGCAAATCTCCGGCCAAGAAGCTCAAGGCCGGGGACACCAAGGCGAAGTTCTCGGACGTGGCAGGGTGCGACCAGGCGAAGGCCGAGCTCGTGGAGGTGGTGGATTTCCTGAAGAACACATCCCGCTATGCCGAGCTGGGTGCCAAGATCCCCAACGCTTCGCGTAACTACGACCAGGAGGGCTCTCCCTCAGCTCTGACGGCTGCTGCTGCTGCTGCTGCTGCTGTTGCTCATCCTTCGCCTTTTCCTCCATATCCCTCCTGTTCACTCCTACTCCTCATCTTCCTTCTCCTCGTCCTCCCTGCGGGGATCTTGAGCCGTCTTGCGGCCGTCGTCAGATGGTTTGGGGCTGTCTTGGGCCTGTCTTGGAGATCTTGTCCAGGCTCTGGGATGGGACCGAGTCGAGGCCATCCTGTTTGACCAGGCGATCGTCGTGATGTTGCCTGGAAGCCATCATGGGCGATGAGTTGCGCAACAGATGTTCAAAGACAGCTGATGGTTGTTCTTCCTATGTTTTTGTCCGCCGAGGGCCTGCCAGGGGCCTCTTGGGAGGCGCGCCGGTCCTGTCTTGGGTGGGAGTCCCTGAAGCCTCGATGTGCATTGTTGGATGCCGCCCGGATCCCCACTGATGGGCTGCTGGACGCGGGGAGATTGGCGTTTTACGCGCTTTGGACTGCGTCGCTATCCGGGTTTTGGACTGCACAAGGCCAAGCTGCCAACTCCCCAGTCATGCTTTTGCTTTCTAGCCCTTGCGCCAGCGCTCCTGATAAGCGTTTGCGCTTTCGACTGCGTCGCTATCCAGGTTTTGGCTGCAGATGTGACTCGAGTCTGAAACCCTCCTAGCCCTTTGCGAGCCATCCGGGAATAGCAGGGCGCTCGAAGGCTGTGAAAAGGGCTGGCAATTTTTACACGCCTCGTGGCCCCAGAGGGGTCGGTGGATTCCCAAGGGCGCTCTTCTGGCTGGCCCCCCTGGCACTGGCAAGACGCTCCTGGCGAAGGCGGTCGCCGGAGAGGCCGGCGTTCCCTTCTTCAGCGCGTCGGCCTCGGAGTTCGTGGAGGTGTTCGCCGGTGTTGGCGCTTCTCGCGTCCGTGACCTCTTTGCCGAGGCGAAGAAGAGCGCGCCCTGCATTAGCGAAGGCGCCTGCGGCGAGTCACCGCCTCCCCCTGTCACCGCCCAACCCGAAGGCCACGATTTGCCCTCCCTTTCCAGTGTGGGGGGGTCGGGGAACATCGAGAGAACACATGAAGCCCGTACCCCGCCCCCAACCCGAAATGGTGGTCTGGTAGGAAGTCACCCTGGCCTTCCGGAAACGCCCGTGCATGCAACCAGCGAGCGAGGGTTAGGCCGTGCTAGCGGGCTGCGTGTTCCTTCAGCCGTTGGCGGGGAGAACGCTGGGGGAACACTGGGCTGTCTTGAGGCTGTCTTGGGCCTCTCTTCAAGCCTTGTGGGCCTTCTTGGGAGCCTCCTTGGCCCTCGTGGGCTATCCTGGGGCTCTCCTGAGCAGTTTCAGGGCGCTCTTGGACCGTCTTGTGCCTTCAGAAGCCGTTCTGAAGGTGTGTCTGGAGTGCCTTGGAGCTTTCTTGGACCGTTCATGGCCGTCTTGGGGGCTTATCGGGCCCTCTTGAGGCTCTTTTGGACCATCGTTGGCCGTGTCTTGGGGGCCTCTTGGGTCGTCCTGGACGCTCTGAATACAGAGAAGGTTGTCGTTAATCCGAGCATACTTGGAAATCAATGTTTTGCCAATGATTTTGACATCTTGTGCTGGCCCCGAAGGCACCCACCACGGTCCAAGAGACCCCGAAGAGAGCGTTTTTTTTAACCCTCTGAAGGTATTTTTGAGTGCCTCATCAGGGCAGCGTCTGGGAAGTGTCTTGGAGGCCATCAGGGACTTTCTTGGGCCGTCTTGGAGGCCATTCTTTGGCCGTCTTGGCCATCTTGCAGGCGAGTTTTCCATTTTTGTGACTTGACGCGGAGCTGGCGGAACGGGCCGAATACGGCAGGTAGACCGTTCGCGTCGTGTCGACCGGCGGCGACCCCGCCGCAGGCGTTCAGCGTTGAACGCCGCTGGCGATCGAGAATCCGTCCAGGTTGGACGATCGGACGTTTCGGAAGCGGCCGATCGTTCTAGGTTGGAATGATCCCCGCAGTGGTGAGTTTTTTATTCATGTTTTTGCCGATCGGCGCGGGCCCGTGGAGTAGATCTTGGCTGTTTTGGCGCCTGTTTCGAGCAGGTGGAGCCTCCCCTCATCGGCCGCACTGCTGCAAACAGCCGCACTAAGCAGAGGTCCGAAGCCAGATCCCCTCCCTCCCCTCCCCTTCCGCCTAGTGTCGAAACGCCGAATAAAAAACGCTCGCCAGTGTCAGGAACCAACGCCGAAGTCGGCACGACACGAAGCTGCCATACCAATGGGAATCTTTTGGAAGGACCAAAAACCATCTGGCGCGCCGGGGCGCCGGATCGAAGACGCCTGCCGGCGAGTCACCGCCGCCTCCTGCTTCTCTGGAGGCGCCGCGATGGTTTTTTATTCCCTACCTAGGCTCTGCCTAGAAGGGTTCTTACTCGGTATGCTGAAAGGGCCGGGCAGTGGGGCCCGCCCCGGGCGGTTCTCCCAGTATCCGCCCCGCGGTTCCCCCAGCTACGTCCCTTTAGCTTAGCGTTGCTTATCTCATCTTAGCTCAGCCTAGCTTAACTTCGCTTAGCTTAGCTTAGTTTAGCCTAGCCTAGCTTAGCTTAGCTTAGCTCAGCTCAGCTGAGCTTAGCCTAGCCTAGCTTAGCTTAGCTTAGCTCAGCTTAGCTTAGCTTAGCTTAGCATAGCACAGCATTAGCATAGCATAGCATAACATAACACATCATAGCATGACATATCATATCACATCATATCATATCATAGCGCAGTATAGCATAGTGCATCATACCATATCATACCATAGCATAGCATAGCATATCATAGCCTAACATAGCGCATCATGTCATATCATCTCATATCATACGATATCATAACTTAGCTTATCATAGCACAGCGCAGCATAGCATAGCACATCATATCAAATCATATCATATCGTAACAACAGCAAAAACAGCCGCAAAGGCAAAAGCAAGGCAATGCAAACTACCAGCAACACCTATGCGAACTTGTATAGGTATATGTAGATGTAGGTGTAGGTGTAGTTGTGGATGTAGATGTAGATGTGGATGTAGGTGTATGTGTAGGTGTAGATGTCGATGTATATGTGAGGCTCGCTGTTGATGTTGATGTAGATGTAGATGCAGGTGTAGATGTGAATGTAGCTGCGTGTGCAGATGTATATGTTGCTTTCCTAGATGCTCCAACTCCTAGGTAGGGTTGCACTGGGATAATTAATCGTTTTGCCGATCGGCGCAGGCTCCCAAACCCCCACTGCCCCCCTGGAGTAGATCTTGGCTGTTGTTTGCGCCTGTTTCGAGCGGGTGGAGTCTCCCCCATAATGGACGCCCTGTTGCAAACAGTCGCATTAAGCAGAGGTCCAGAGCCATACCCCCCCCTCCCCGCCCCTTTCCGCCTAGTGTCGAAACGCTGAATAAAGAACGCTCACAAGCTTGGTCAAGCTATTGGACTATCTGGGGCATTCCAGGAAAGGCCTCGCCTTCGAGGATCGAAGGAGTCGTCATCTCTTCCTCGGCAGAAGGCGGCGGAAGGGCGGCGGAAGCCCGCGGAAGTAAAACGAGGCCGACTCCGCCGGCGGAAGCCAGCGGAAGCAAAACATGCGCCCCAAGAGATGCCAACATTTCAGGGTTAAGGGTTTCCTGAACCCGCCATGTGTTGCCCCAGCCGTTGTAGAACCCTTTGGGGGAACATTCTGGGGAGAAAGAGTGGAGGCATCAGGAGGGACGAAGATGCGGATGCGGACGAGGAGGTAGCCACTTGAGGCTTCTCGGGGGTCTCTTGGTGGCCTGTTGAGGCTATCTGGGCCATCTTGGCAGTCTTCGGGGACATTTTAAACCGTCTTGGAGGTCGTGTAGGGCCATATTGGCCGACTTGGAAGCCATATTGGCCATTTTGGAGGCAATCTTGGACTGTTTTGGGGCCCTCTGTGGGGCCTCTGGCCCGTCTTTGGACCATCTTGGAGACCTCGTGGGCCGTCTGACGCTGTCTGACTAGAACAACGCCGAAATCATTGAAAACTTGTTGGGGAATCAGTACTTTTTACCTCTCGGCGCCCTCTTCCGTCTTGGGGCCCTCTTGGGAGCTTCTTGGAAGCCCGTTGGGCCGTCTTCGGCTGAGGGTGAGAATGAGAAAATCGTTCAAACACCTGAGGGAAATCACTGATGTTAGCTTCTTCGGGCTATCCTGGAAGGCCTCTTGGATCCCTCTTTGGCAGTCTTTGGGCCTTCTGGACCGCCTTGAAGCCATCTTTGGCCGTCTTGCCGTCTTAGAGCACTCCAGGTCCGTCTTGGGCAATCTTGGAGCCATTTTGATTTCTTGGAGACCATTTGGAATCGCTGTTGGAGGCCATTTTGGCCTTCTTGGAGGCATCATGGGACCATCTTGGGCGGAAACGCACTTGAAACACATATATTTGGGTTGGCTGGAGGCCACTGGGAACCTTGTGGAGGGGTTCAAACCTGCCTTCGGCCCATCCTGCCACCATTGGTCGTGGAGCAGAGGCCTCTTCAAGGCCTCTTGGGGGCCCTTTGGGGGTCTCTGTCTCTTGGGAGCCTCTTTGGGGCATCTTGGAGATCCTTAGGGGCCTCTGGGGGCCTCTGGGGAGCTTTTGGGGGCTTGCTGGCGGTCTCGGGGCTCCTCTTGGCGGCGGCCCCACGGGGCCAGTTGAAGTTCTTGCTCTTAGGTCTCTCTTTTGGGCTCTCTTGAAGTCCTCCTGGGCCCTTCTTGGTGGTCCCTTGGGCCGTGCTGGACTGGCCCCAGGGGCCGCTTGGGCCGCCTATTGAGCGCTCCCAACACCGTCAGCATATACTAACACATCGCGCAGCAGCAACAGCTTCTCCCACGATTTTGCCTCTTTGGGCCGGCCCCCGAGGGCCTCCGAGGCGGCCCAGTGTCAAGGGAGCCCCCGCCGGGCCCCAAGACGGACCCCTGGCGCCCCGCCGCTGGGGCCTGGGGGCACGACACTGTCCTCCTCGGGCCTCCTCGGGGCGCGTCGGAGAACTCCATCGAGGTCCCCGCCCGCTCCCCAGGGTGTCCCCCAGCGTGCCAGTTGTGAACCGCACCTTTTGCAAACCACACCCTCCGATCGGGGGTCTCGCAACACCCGGTCTTGTGGGCTCCTGGGGGCCACAGGGCAGCGGGGGCCCTCGGAGTCGGGCAAGTTGCTCCTCCCCTGCCAGAGTCTCCCCGCAGACTCCTCTGCACTCTCTCTCGCTTGGCGCCGGGGGCGCCTCACATTCTCCAGTGCCCTCCAAGGTGTCCCAGGAGGAGCCCAGGAGGACCCCCAAGGAGGGGCCCCAATTGGTAAATCATGGATTCCCGCATGGTGTTGGAGTGATAGCGTCTTCGTTTGTCCGTCCTCTGACCGCCCGAGACGGCACAAGAGGCAAGGCGTCTCCACGACTGTTCAAGAGGATCCTAGGACTCCAAGACGACCGAAGAGGCCCCCACGACTGTCCAAGAGGCTCTCATTACGCCTCAAGAGGGGCAAGACGGCCCCCAAGACCCCCACAATGGCCCGAAGAAGGCCCCTAACGGGCACCCAATACTTTCCGACGACGCCCCCAGAGGCCCCCGAGACATCTCCAGAGGCCCTCACGACTTTCCCAAGATCCCTGCTGCCCCCGAGAGAGCTCCAAGACGGCCCTCTGGGACCGTCTTTGGGCTCTCTCGGGGGCGGGGGGAGTAGCAGCGGGGGGGAAAGATCTGCTTACGCGGATGTCTGAGTGTATGTAGTTGTGGATCCCACGCCCTAGGCCGAGCACCCACTCGCGCGTTCGGCGACGAACGCGTTGGCTTCCAAATCCACAGCTCCCTTTCATTCGGGCACGGCCCATCTACCCCGCTTAACGCTAAACTCCAAGACATTAGAACGCGAGCGCAGACGAAGAGCGCACGTAATGGTTCTACTGAGGGGGCAAAGTGACCTGAGTACGCTCCACTCAGTGCTTACGGCACGGTAGCGGATCTTCATTGACGAGATCGACGCTGTGGGGCGACAGCGCAGCAGCGGTGGTGGTGGGCGCGGCAGCGACGAACGCGAGCAGACGGTGAACCAGTTGCTGACCGAGATGGACGGCTTCGAGGCCAACAACGGCGTCGTGGTGCTCGCGGCGACCAATCGCCTCGACGTCTTGGACAAAGCGTTGACGCGGCCCGGCCGCTTCGACCGCAAGATCCAGGTTGACCCGCCGGACGTGGAAGGCCGCGCCGCCATCCTCGCAGTGCACGCCAGGGACAAGTCGATGGCACCCTCCGTCGACCTGGGCGTGGTGGCGCGCCAGACGCCTGGCATGGCCGGCGCCGACCTCGCTAACCTGCTCAACGAGGGAGCCATTCTAGCGGCCAGGCGCAACGCATCCGAGATCGAGCAGGATGACATCTCGAGCGCCCTCGAGCGTATCCAGATGGGCCTTGAGAGGAAGGGCGGGGTCATGTCTGAGAGGAAGCGCCGCCTGGTCGCTTACCACGAGGCGGGCCATGCCATCCTGGGCGCGCTGATGAAGGATTACGACGTGGTGACCAAGGTCAGCATCGTACCGCGCGGTCCCGCTGGAGGCGTCACGATATTCATGCCCACGGAGGAGCGCCTGAATTCTGGTTTGTATTCGAAGGAGTTTCTGCAGAATCGCATGTGCGTCGCGCTGGGAGGCCGCGCTGCAGAGGAGATAGTCAATGGCAAGGCGAATGTGACCACGGGCGCCTCCAGTGATTTCCAGCAGTGCACGCAGGTAGCCACAGCCATGGTGACCCAGCTTGGCATGTCTGACGTTGTCGGGCAGCGCGCGGTGGGCTCGCAGGACCAGGGCAGCGCCCCGCCAGTCTCTCAGAGGCTCCGCGAGCAGGTGGACGCAGAGATCAGGCGCATCGTGGACGAGCAGTACGAGCGAGGCGTGCAGATCCTCAGGTCCAACATGCACCTCCTGGACGCCCTGGCGGAGCTGCTGCTCGAGCGCGAGAAGGTGAGCGGCGAGGAGCTCGTGGGGCTCGTCAACGAGACTGCAGCCGCGGGCAAACTTGTCAGGGACGAGCAGAGAGTGATGGCAGCCGCGGCTTGCGCGGGGGAAAGCACCCCAGAGCCTTAAGGCCGGCTGGCTGCGGGTGTGCACCGACCTTTTGTTACATAGGTTCTGCTGCAGGGCTGGTCTACTGGCGTTGGTGTATAACTGGCGTCCTTAGGCCCAGGCTGTGTAGCCTCTTTGCAATTTCTATTTAGCATTCCCTCAGCGTCTCATGCTTGCACCTCGCAGCCTGATCGGCCCCAATGAGGGCCACAGGTCAGCTTGGGCTTCGAGCTCAATTTTTTGTTGAAGCCGTGCCGCATGCTCTTCCGAGAGGACACCAGCGTGGCACGGATTTGCACATCTTCCTGCCCGACCGAGCCACGTGCGGCATATGCGTGTGATCAGGGGGCCAGAATTTTCGCTTGGAGCGCTTCGCTCGAATGCCAGCTTCCTCGCCGGGTAGCTTCTAGACGGCCTTGGGGTAACTGTCAATAGGCGCTGTCTTTGGCGCTTCCCCGCTGTTGGGCTCGAAAATTATTCCTTGACTCGAAAGAAGACCGGTGGGGCGATGGGAGGTGATGCGCCCTCGCCTCCGCTTTGGAACCGCGCGCGCGCGATTCTCCCGAGTCTACACCGCAGGCGCTTCGTGGCTGCAAATCTCGGGGACCCTCCCCCCAAAAGATGCAGAGCCAAACCGCGTTGCCCGTAGTGAGGAGTGAGGAGTGGTATTCACTGGGGCTGGAAGTGGGGCTACCAGCGGGGCGGACAGATGAAAGGGCGAAGTGTTTACGTAATGCTGTGCTGCTGCAGGGGTGTGTGGGTGGCACCGCGTGCATGAGCGGGTGCACGTGGAAGGAGACGAGCGTATCCCGCACATTTCATATCGTATTTGTTCCGTGACGTGGACCCCAAGTCCTGTCGACATCCCACCAGGGATCGCTTGTTTATCCCAAGCCTTCTTTTGATGATGCTGGAGCCCGAACCCTGCAACCAGAGGCCGATCACTTGGAAAGACCGACCGTTCCGATATTTTCGTGGGGACAGATGTCTAGGATAGCATGGTAAAGACCAGTAATAATGCAGTTGCTGCGGCTTCGCACCTTGCGGCTTACAGAGGACCTCCGCAGTCCAGCACGGACACGCAGGAACAATGCGTATCGCAGGGAGGCGGATCGTAGACGCGGAGGACGACATCAGTACTATCAGCAGGGCCATGCCCAGTGAGGAGGTCCACGATACTTGCTCGAGCTGGTGTGTGTGTGTGTGTGTGTGTAATTGTCTCGAGCTCGATGTGGAAACACGGCGATGCCACACCACCACGGAGGTCCCCGCCGTGCTCCTTGTCGATGACGGTGTTGGAGGCGTCTTTCCTTGGTTTCACAGGGGGGAGGAGGGATTCCAGGACTTGGACGAGGAGGAGGAGGAGGAGGAGGAGGAGAAGGAGGAGTAGGAGGATGAGGAGGATCAGTGCAAACCCAAGACTCATCAACGATGTTGGAATCCACCCTCCCTCCAAGCTCCCTCTTCACAGGCCCCTACAAGGGTTCATTCCCACTGAGGGAATTGCCCAGTTGGGGGGCAACCGTATGACAAGCCTGAAGCGTGCCAAGACACCAGTCTCAGGACTTCAACGCCACGAGTTACCTGACTGCTACGTCTTTGCGATCCTGAATCTTGCCAGAACACCATTCCTTGGACTTCAGCACCGCGAATCAACGTAACTGTTGCGGCCCTGACAATCCTGAATCGCTCCAACCAATTCACATTGCCTGGTACCTTAACCATGGGAACCAATGAACCTCTTGCAGATGTTTTAGACGAGTGTACGCGGTGCCAAAGCGAAAGCTACATGTTCAAAAGGAGCAACCCTCTATACGTGAAGTTCTTGCAAATTATCAAAGACGAATGTTCGCGGCGCTAAGGCGAGAGCCACAGTTTGAAACCGACCTGCCCTCAATCCGTGAAGCTCTTGCAAATGTCAAAAATGAATGTGCGCGGCGCTAAGGCGAGAGCCACAATTTGAAAACCACCGGTCCTGAATCCGTGAAACTCTTGCAAGTGCGCGGCACTCAGGCGAGCGCCACATGTTGAAAACGATGTCGCTTCAATTCGTGAAGCTCTTGCAAGTGTTGAAAGCGACTGCGCGCGGCGCTAAGGCGAGAGCCGCATTTTGAAAACGAGCCGCCCTCAAGCCGTGAAGCTAGGGCGAGAGCCACTGAAAACCAAACGCCCTCCATCTGTGAAGCTGTTGCTGGTTTTAAGGCTTCAGGCTCATAATTGGTGAGGAAGTCTTGGGCGAAACGGCCGGCCCGGCCTTCCGACGGGCCTCGGGGTGCGACAGGGAGGAGTTATCTATAAGGAGAAGGAATGGAGGAGGAGGAGGAGGAGGTGGAGGAGGAGGAGGAGGAACAGCAGGAGGAGGAGTAGGAGGAGAGGGATGACTTGGATGAGGAGAAGGAGGAGGAGGAGGAGGAGGAGGAGGAGGAGGAGGAGGAGGAGGAGGAGGAGGACGAGGAGGAGGAGGAGGATGGGGAGGCCTGGAGCTTTCCACCCCCGTCGCTGCCGCTGAGCCTCCCGCTCCTGGCTGGTCAGCGAGGCAGCCCCCCCCCCCCCGTGAAAGAGGGGAGGGGGGCGGAGGCAGAGGGGCGAGGCGATGCGATCTTCGCGTCTGTCCACACGGCTGCTGCTATATCTCGCTGGGCCTCTTGGGTGCCCGGCGGGGAGGGGCTGGCTTTACGTCGGGCATGTCCCTCTACAGGAGGAATATTCCAAAATAGTCAGAAAATCGTATATGGGACGATTTTTCGACTATTGCTCGACAAATCTTGCATATTTTTTGATTTTTCTTTTTCCTCCAAAATCCGCCTGTAGGAGGGCATGCCCGACCTAAGGCTGCCTTCTGTCCCCCATAAGCGGGCCCTCACGGTGGAGCCGCGGCCCCAATCCAGCTGCAGATTGAGGCGGCTCGCGGCCCACGGGGCCACGCGCAGGTGCTTCCTGCGTCGGGCTTCAAGGTCTTGACGCTTCGCGTGTCCCCACCGGCCCATCCCAAACAGATACCCAGGCGAGCTGAGTCGATCAGGGGAGTGCAGGGGCAAAGAGGAGGACAGGGGGTTATCGTGGCTGCTTCGTGGAGTGTGTTTCTCGTAAGGCGTTTCGTGGGGTGCTTTTCGTTGAGCGGTTTTGGTGTTCGCCGAGTGTTTCGTGGGGTATTATCCATGGGTGTTTCGTGAGTCTTTCGTTGGCTGTTTTTCGTACAGTGTTTCGTCGGGTGTTTTTCGTGGGTCGTTTCGTGGAGTGTCTCATCGGGTGTTTTTCGTGGGGCGTTTCGTGGGGTGTGTGTTCGCGAAATGTTTCGTGGAGTGTGATTCGTGGAGTGTTGCGTGAGACAGCCGATGGCAAAGAGGATGAGACATCGCGCTTGGGGAGTACACTGTTTTGACGGGTTCATGCAGGACTCTTAAGGCCATCTTAGAATCTCTCTCGTATTCCCTGTGCGGCTTCTTGGGACACTCTTTGGGTCCGATCTAGAAGCGATCGCGGGGGGAGTTGCCCGCGTGAGGGATGTGTTGTGTCGTGTTCGCCGGGTGTTTCGTGGTGTTTTTGGTGATGCGTTACGTCGGAGTTTCGTGGGGGTGTGATTCGTCAGGTATTGAATGGGGTGATTTTGGTGGGATGCTCTTCGTGAGGTGTCGCGTGGGGTGTTTTTCGCAGGGTGTGTCTTGGGGTGTGTTTCATGAGGTGTGCTTCGTGGAGTGTGCTTCGTGGCGTGCTTCGTGTGGTGTGTCGTGTTGGTGTTTTTTCGTAAGGTGGTTCGTGGGGCATTTTTCGTAGGGATACTTCGTGGGAGGGAAAGGAGGAAGGGAACCATCTTGGGGCCATATTGAGGCCTCAAAAGCCCATCGGAAGTGAAAAGTCAAAAAGGCAAACACATTGATCTTCCTTACGTTTTGGAATCATGTTGGTCTCTTGGAGGGGCCTTGGATGGCTCGGAGGGTACTTGAAACCGTCTTGGGGCCGTCTAGGGTTGTCTTCGATGTGTGCGGGAGGCTATCTTGACCCATCGTGAGCTATCTTGAACCAACTTGGAGGCCATATTGGGGTCTCGTGAGGCCCTCTCGGAAACCTTTCGCCAGGCGAGTGGAGGTGTTGTCGTGAGAGGTTTTCAGAGGTCTCTTGGAACCATTTTGGGGCTCTCTTGGGGTCCCCTTGGGGCCCCCTTTGGGCCCTCTTGGGGCTCTTTTGGGACCCTCTCTGGGCCTTTTGGGCCCCCGTAGCTCAAACAGAGGGGGGTCCTCAATTCAGGTCCCCGGGGCGCTCTTGGGGCGCTCTTGGGGCGGTCTTGGGGCGGTCTTGGGCGCTCTTGGGGTCCTCTTGGGGCCCTATTGGGCTCCTCTTGCGGCTCTCTTGGGCCGCCTTGGAGTCATCCTGGGGCTTCCGAGGCCAGTCGGAAGCGAACATGAGAGAAGGCAAACAACATCGATTTCCCCCCACGTTCTGGAGTCATTTTGGCCTCTTGGGGGGGTCGTTGGGGGGCTCGGAGGGCACTTGAACCCGTCTTGGAGCCGTCTTGGGGCGTCTTGGAGGTATGTCGGATGCTACCTTGAGCCATGATGAATCATCTTGGATCATCTTGGAGGCCATCTTGGGCACTCTGAGGCCCTCTTGGCGCCATCTCGGGCCATCTTCGGGACTCTAACGCCTCGCAGCCCCCCCTCCCAGGTCCAGGGGAGGGGGTAGGGAGGGGTCAAGCTACCCGCCCGCAAGCCGTCTAGCTCCCTCCCACCCGCCCTTCCAACACATACGTAACACCTGAGCCTGAGCATGTTCAGCGGTCGTCTTTCTATGGGCAGCTACTGGGAACCAAAGCCGACCCCAGGTGCGCGACTTCGGTGAGGTCCGAGGTGCGCCACGCGTGCCAGGGGCGCCACGCGCGCCAGGCACCCCTGGGGCCCGAGCGTGCCAGGCACGCCTGGCGCGCCAGATGCGCCACGTGCTCCAGTGCGCCAGGTGTGCCGCACACTCCAGCCGCGCCAGGTGCGCCACGTTCGGGGCACTTGCAGAGTGCGTCAGGTGCGCCTGCGCACGTGACAGCACACATCGGGAAACATGTCGGCCCCCGCCATCCTTGTCGAAAACCGATGCTCATCATTGTGTCTGGTGGGCCTGCGCACAGCAGGCCACGCGGCATCACCCCCGCCGTCCCTATCAACAACAACTTGATAGTGATCGCGGGATGGCCGCGCATGATCCAGATTTAGCCGCGAGGTGCATGTTGTATTTTTTGCCAGGGATGGTAGCCCTGCGCACAGCAGGGAATATGCTGACACCCCCGCCGTTCCTGTCAAAAACAATACAAAGTGCTCGCGGGCATCATGGGGGTGCGTGCACATTAATGATTTAGCGGATTTTGGGATGTCGGTCTCATCACCTCAGCGTGCCACTCAGTAGTCGTCTGGGCTCCAGAGTTTTCACCGCATGCAGGGTGTGGCGGGGGCGTTCCTCGCTTTCCTGACCTTCGTGGTGCGGGACCACTTCGCGCGTCAGCCGCCCTGGGGCGGCAACGACGCCGACTGGTGCCGCTCGGAGACTCTGGCGCCGCCTCCCGCCCCGCCCGCGCGGGACGACGCCGTCTGCTCTGTGAGCTGGGTCCACCCTGGCATCGTGGAGGAGAT